GCTTCATACTGCACACTGTGTAGGGCAGTGCTTCATGCTGCACACTGTGTAAGGCAGTGCTTCATACTGCACACTGTGTAAGGCAGTTCTTCATACTGCACACTGTGTAGGGCAGTGCTTCATGCTGCACACTGTGTAAGGCAGTTCTTCATACTACACACTGTGTAAGGCATCAATTGTCCAAAGAAGGCAGTAAACCGGGAGACTGTGTAGCACCAGCAGTGTCGCGGGATATTCCAAAGGTGCTCTACTGAGGATGCCAATATGAGAACAGACACACTCACAAGACAAGCGATATCAAAGGTATATTAGACTCACCAGGAAAATTGTCCAAGGATAAATGACCTCAAGGGACATTAGGAAAGCAAGATATACGAACGTCCTGAAAATCTCGACATTTCTCAAAGCGGTGCACAACTGTAAGTGGGACAATGCAGTTTGGACAGTAAGGAGCAGGGCGGCGTTCCATTAAGTATCCGTGACTTAAGCGTGTATGGCCAATACGTAACCTAGCCAAAGCTGTTTCCCACTGTCTATTACGGTGGTAGGAAGACCAAGGGGATATGTTACTTTTGAGAGTACTCAGTTTACCAGTAACCCCACACCAGAGACTGCCAACGGTTGCAGATTGAAGAATGAATGACTGGTTAATTAAAGTCTGAATAAGAAATGACTTTTTTAGAAATAGGCCAAGTGAGGACAGCCTTCTTAGCGGCCATGTTTATTTAAGGTAATACCAATATGGCTGCTAACCCGGTAAAACTCAACTGTCTTAAATCTGCTGGAGATAAGACATAGCCAATGATGAATTTCGACTACCACAAGACGCATAGAGTTAAAGGACTCTAGAGCCATGAGGGCACGGCGGGAATCAACCACAATGACAAAGGAACGTTGACGACGGGAAAATGTTGACGAAGTGCATACAAGATTGCATAAAGTTCTGCCGTGAAGATGCTAGTCTCCGGGGGCAGGTGGCACATAGTGGTGTGGTCAAGAAAGACAACGGAGTAGTCTACGCCGTCAGCAGACTTAGGCCCGTCTGTGAAGACGGCGATGGAGCCGGAGTGGGACGAAAAGTGCTCAAGGAAACGGTGTTTCATAACCATACGGGGACGGGCCGAAGACTTTACCATGTGGGTCAAGGTCTTGCAGAACTATGCAAGTGGGACCCTCCATGGGAGCAAAGATGGAACGAAAGGAAGTATATTGCTACCATGAACTGAGAGTGAATCTTGCAAGCGAGACATTCGTACAGAAAAAGGAAGGTGGTGAAAGGGAAGAGGACCTACGAGAGGAGTCACTGTCAGAGCACGAGTGAGGATGGTGCAGGGACCGCGCAAGGTAGCGAAGGCAGTAACGATCATATAGAGACAGAACTCCAGTTTCAGCATACAGGCTCAGGTTGGGGATGAATGAAAGGCACCAGAGCTGAGGCGTAACCCAGTATAATGCAGAGCATCAAGAAGATGAAGAGTCGCTGGAGAGATGGAGGAGTAGTCGGGGCAGCCATAATTGAGAGAGGAGTGCAGACAGAGGAGTGTGCGCCTATCAGCGTCCCTGGAAGTATGAGACAAGACTAAGTAAAGGCCTTAGAGCATTCACCTCGGAAATCAGATATACGATGTGACCAAGATTAACTAGAGTCAAAGATCAACCCCAAAAGTTTAGCACAATCTTTATACAGTAGGGGACTACCGCAGAGCGACAGTGGTGGACGAAGAACGACCTGCTACCGAGTAAAAGTCATACCACATGTCGTAGTTGTGGAGAACTTGAAGCCGTGATCGGTGGTCCTGGATGACACGTCTTCAATCACAAGTTAAAGCTGTTGCCGAAGAAAAGAAATCGCCTCGAAGTAGAGGTCAGAGGAAAGGTCATCGCCCCGAAGTAGAGCGAGGTCTTCAACACAGATGGTAGAACAAACACCAGTAGGAAGTGAGGAAGGAGGCCCATTTAGGGCAACTAGGAAAAAAGTACTGCTCCGAACACTACCTTGGGGAACACCGTCATAATCAGAGAGAGTGGTACCAAGGCTCACTTCAAATGAGCGGCTAGAAAGGAAGCTTTGAGGGAAAAAAAGCACAAAGGACAAAAAGAGTGTAGTTGGGACAAAATATTCCATCTCCAGGTGGAGTCATAAGCCTTTGTCAAAGTAAAAAAGAACAGCAACAACGGAGGTCTTCGCAGCACAGGTAGTACGAGTGTTGACCTCCAAGTCCACTCCACCATCAGTCGTGCTGCGACATTTGCGAAAACCGAATTGAGATCGGGGAAAGGTTATGATAGTGTTGTAAGAATCACATCAGACCTACATTGACCATACATTCGAAAAGTTTGCGAATGCAACTCCTCGGGACACTGAGGCAAAAATCCTAAGGTAAAGTCCCTTGAGTACCGGGTTTCCGAATAGGAAGAACAACTGACTGAAGCCAGCCCTCGAGGACTGACGACGTCCCACAAATACGGTTAAAGATATTCAGCAAATACTGAAAAGTGCACCCGGGGGATGCCGGAGCATCTCGCAATGCGTGCCGTCTGATCCAGCCACTGGAGACTTACAGAGGATCAGGGCAGACTGGAGTTGACAAAGAGAGAAAGGGTGGTTATAGGGGAGCTGTGTGTGGGTGATGAAGTCTAAGGGACGGGATTCGATAAGGGGTTTACGAGTAAACAGAGCAGGAGGAAGATGAGTACTAGAGCTAACTGTTGAAAAGTGCAGACCAGTTCCGTTACGAGCAACACTGGTGATGTTCAGCCCGTCCTCCCGTGTTGGTGGTACTTATGGTAACGATGAGAACCATGGTACATATAGCGGCCTACAACCCAATTAGAAAGTAGAAATCTGTACTATTGAATTTGGACAAACCGGAAAAGTTATTGTATTTCCGTTGCAAAGACAACCTAACCTAATCTAACCTTCTTAGGCCTAATACACACTATCTGACAACTAATATAGTACATATGGGTACTATACTAGGCCTATGAATATTTAAGTTTGTTTTTAGCTTCATTTTTACGGACTATAAACTGAAAGCACCAAATTCTACAAGCTAATTACTTAGTACGTCAATGTTTGTACTATGGAGCACATAGTTACAAAAACTGCTATATAAACATTAAGATGGGTTGAGATGTTACAGGGCTCACCATACCCATCCTGTGAGTGGTGGTGGTGTTACAGGGCTCACCATACCCATCCTGTGAGTGGTGGTGGTGTTACAGGGCTCACCATACCCATCCTGTGAGTGGTGGTGGTGTTACAGGGCTCACCATACCCATCCTGTGAGTGGTGGTGGTGTTACAGGGCTCACCATACCCATCCTGTGAGTGGTGGTGGTGTTACAGGGCTCACCATACCCATCCTGTGAGTGGTGGTGGTGTTACAGGGCTCACCATACCCATCCTGTGAGTGGTGGTGGTGTTACAGGGCTCACCATACCCATCCTGCGAGTGGTGGTGGTGTTACAGGGCTCACCATACCCATCCTGTGAGTGGTGGTGGTGTTACAGGGCTCACCATACCCATCCTGCGAGTGGTGGTGGTGTTACAGGGCTCACCATACCCATCCTGTGAGTGGTGGTGGTGTTACAGGGCTCACCATACCCTACAGGGCTCACCATACCCGTCCTGTGAGTGGTGGTGGTGTTACAGGGCTCACCATACCCATCCTGTGAGTGGTGGTGGTGTTACAGGGCTCACCATACCCGTCCTGTGAGTGGTGGTGGTGTTACAGGGCTCACCATACCCGTCCTGTGAGTGGTGGTGGTGCTACAGAGGCACAATAATGGGCTCAGGAACTGATCCCCACAATATTGGTCTTGCAAAGCAAGTTATCAGATACGAATGAAACAAAGAGGAAGAGTGTCACTGTTTGGTGAAGATTAAGCCACCATAGAGGGTGACAGCACGGGCATGAGTAGCCCGTGAGAGTGGCACTGACCCAATGCAGGCACCTCAACACTCACACCTGAGTCAACTCACGGCTGTTATGTTACCTGGGAATTTGTTGCGTAACTCTGACACCCTAAACGGTGGTCACTCACATCTTTCCTGGATCACAATATATCAAATTTATATGTTTTGTTTTCTGTTAATATATTTAATGCGTTATTCATATTGGCCTTGTTATAGATATTGGCCTTGTTATAGATATTGGCCTTGTTATAGATATTGGCCTTGTTATAGATATTGGCCTTGTTATAGATATTGGCCTTGTTATAGATATTGGCCTTGTTATAGATATTGGCCTTGTTATAGATATTGGCCTTGTTATAGATATTTGGCCTTGCTATAGATATTGGCCTTGTTATTGATATTTGGCCTTGCTATAGATATTGGCCTTGCTATAGATATTGGTCTTGTTATAGATATTGGTCTTGTTATAGATATTGGCCTTGTTATAGATATTGGCCTTGTTATAGATATTGGCCTTGTTATAGATATTGGCCTTGTTATAGATATTGGCCTTGTTATAGATATTTGGCCTTGCTATAGATATTGGCCTTGTTATTGATATTTGGCCTTGCTATAGATATTGGCCTTGCTATAGATATTGGTCTTGTTATAGATATTGGTCTTGTTATAGATATTGGCCTTGTTATAGATATTGGTCTTGTTATAGATATTGGTCTTGTTATAGATATTGGCCTTGTTATAGATATTGGTCTTGTTATAGATATTGGCCTTGTTATAGATATTGGTCTTGTTATAGATATTGGCCTTGTTATAGATATTGGCCTGCCAGAGTTGGCAGCTTCCAGTGCCAACTGTGTTCAGCAGCCATACACCGTAAAGGTGCCAACATGACTAATAATGCCAGGTAAAGTTGGTCTCATCAGAGACCACTCTGAGTACTGGCTCTGCACGAAGGATAATATTACTTTCCTGAGGACGATCGTAATTCTGGATAAAACACCTGCGGAGAACAGGGGATCACTAATAAATACCTGCATAGAAATGTCAAATGTCTTCAAACAAATTGTCCAGGACACCCAAGCTCACTCAGACGCGGCGCAGAGCGCAGTGTTGGGGGCGGCACCACAGAGCACGGTGTCGGCGGCGGCACAGCAGATCTGTGTCGGCGGCGCCACGGCAGAGCACAGTGTCGGCGGCGCCACGGCAGAGCGCGGTGTCGGCGGCGGCACAGCAGAGCGCGGTGTCGGCGCCGCCACAGCAGAGCGCGGTGTCGGCGGCGGCACAGCAGAGCGCGGTGTCGGCGCCGCCACAGCAGAGCGCGGTGTCGGCGGCGCCACAGCAGAGTGCAGTCTCTGGCAAAGGGAAACAAACAAAACAAGGACCCAAAACCTGTCGATAACATAAATGGGGAACTTGTAAACATGGGATATCGGGAAGGACAAATGGAATATGTAAATACAATCACCCCAGAAAGTGCAAAAACCTTATTAGTACATGGTAAATGTACCAAAAGCTGTGATTTCTTTCACTCAAAACTGTGCAAGAACTCTTTAGATAGGAAAGAATGCTTCAACACGGAATGTCCAGCTTTACATATAAGAGGTACCAGGCGAATAAAACCGACAGACCACCACAACTCTATTGACCAGGATGATTTTTTAGCATGAAAAAGAGTAGAAGAATGGCTAAATGGCCAGACTCTACCACCATCTCGGTCAAATGCTATAGAGAGGACACAATCACAGTAGCTTCCCTACCAGAGCCTCAGATATTAACACCTATTAAAGCATCCAGCACTTCCACGAACACGATAACATCATTTTTATTTGCCAACATTCAGGGTAAAAAACACTCTAATCTGCTGGAGGACATCAATAAAGTTCACTTTATTGATGGCCTCCTACATGAGGCACATGCAGTGTTTGCAGCCCTAACGGAAACCCACACCAAGGACTACCATGGTGGTGAAATATGGATTTTGGAATACAATCTTTTCAGATGTGACAGGAAACACCGGCTACAGGGTGGGGTCAGCCTCTACATCAAAGACACACTCATCAGCACTGAGCTGCTAAACACCTCAAATGATATGGTGGAAGTGCTGATAATCAAAATAGAGATCCTAAATGTAGTTATTGTCCTTGTATATAAGTCACCAGAGGCAAATCATCAGCAGTTTAAAGATCAACTAATGAAAATAGAACACTGCTTGGAAAACCACACAAATCCAGCTCCGAACACCATCCTGCTTGGGGACTTCAACCTACGGCACCTGAAATGGAAGACCAAAGCTGATACAGTTATATCAGAGAGAATACCAGGAAGTAGTCTAAATGAACAGGCACATGCAAATGACCTGCTACGGATGTGCGACAGGTTTGCCTTAAACCAGCAAATAGTAGAACCAACCAGAAAAGAGAACACGTTGGACCTCATTTTCACTTATAATGATAAACTGATCAGGAACATAATGATTACAAATACCTGTTACTCAGATCACAATCTAATTGAAGATCGGACAAGCATGGGGATTAGACCTGCACAACCAGTCCCCAGCCCCAGTGGAGGAGAATTCAGCAAATTCAATTTCAATAATAAACAGATAAACTGGGAGCAAATAAATCAAGACCTCACAGAAATAAACTGGGAAGAACAACTAGAAAATGCAAACCTGAACCAGTGCCTGGAAAAAATAAGCTCAGAAGCACTAGAAATATGTTCAAACCGCATACCCCTAAGAAAAAAAGAGGAAGAGATGCAGATTGGAACGAAAACGTCGTTCCCTCTATAGGTGAAGAAAACGCCTCTACCCTTTACACCATCACCTGATGCAGGCAATGTGGGCCGGGTCACCATCACCTGGTGCAGGCAGTGTGGGCCGGGTCACCATCACCTGGTGTAGGCAGTGTTGGCCGGGTCACCATCACCTGGTGTAGGCAATGTGGGCCGGGTCACCATCACCTGGTGTAGACAGTGTTGGCCGGGTCACCATCACCTGGTGTAGGCAGTGTGGGCCGGGTCACCATCACCTGGTGTAGGCCGGGTCACCATCACCTGGTGTAGGCAGTGTGGGCCGGGTCACCATCACCTGGTGCAGGCAGTGTGGGCCGGGTCACCATCACCTGGTGTAGGCAGTGTGGGCCGGGTCACCATCACCTGGTGCAGGCAGTGTGGGCCGGGTCACCATCACCTGGTGTAGGCCGGGTCACCATCACCTGGTGTAGGCAGTGTGGGCCGGGTCACCATCACCTGGTGCAGGCAGTGTGGGCCGGGTCACCATCACCTGGTGTAGGCAGTGTGGGCCGGGTCACCATCACCTGGTGCAGGCAGTGTGGGCCGAGTCACCATCACCTGGTGTAGGCAGTGTGGGCCGGGTCACCATCACCTGGTGCAGGCAGTGTGGGCCGGGTCACCATCACCTGGTGTAGGCAGTGTGGGCCGGGTCACCATCACCTGGTGCAGGCAGTGTGGACCGGGTCACCATCACCTGGTGCAGGCAGTGTGGGCCGGGTCACCATCACCTGGTGCAGGCAGTGTGGGCCGGGTCACCATCACCTGGTGCAGGCAGTGTGGGCCGGGTCACCATCACCTGGTGTAGGCAGTGTGGGCCGGGTCACCATCACCTGGTGCAGGCAGTGTGGGCCGGGTCACCATCACCTGGTGCAGGCAGTGTGGGCCGGGTCACCATCACCTGGTGCAGGCAGTGTGGGCCGGGTCACCATCACCTGGTGCAGGCAGTGTGGGCCGGGTCACCATCACCTGGTGCAGGCAGTGTGGGCCGGGTCACCATCACCTGGTGTAGGCAGTGTGGGCCGGGTCACCATCACCTGGTGTGGGCAGTGTGGGCCGGGTCACCATCACCTGGTGTAGGCAGTGTGGGCCGGGTCACCATCACCTGGTGTAGGCAGTGTTGGCCGGGTCACCATCACCTGGTGTAGGCAGTGTGGGCCGGGTCACCATCACCTGGTGTAGGCAGTGTGGGCCGGGTCACCATCACCTGGTGTAGGCAGTGTGGGCCGGGTCACCATCACCTGGTGCAGGCAGTGTGGGCCGGGTCACCATCACCTGGTGTGGGCCGGGTCACCATCACCTGGTGTGGGCAGTGTGGGCCGGGTCACCATCACCTGGTGCAGGCAGTGTGGGCCGGGTCACCATCACCTGGTGTAGGCCGGGTCACCATCACCTGGTGTAGGCAGTGTGGGCCGGGTCACCATCACCTGGTGCAGGCAGTGTGGGCCGGGTCACCATCACCTGGTGTAGGCAGTGTGGGCCGGGTCACCATCACCTGGTGCAGGCAGTGTGGACCGGGTCACCATCACCTGGTGCAGGCAGTGTTGGCCGGGTCACCATCACCTGGTGTAGGCAGTGTGGGCCGGGTCACCATCACCTGGTGTAGGCAGTGTGGGCCGGGTCACCATCACCTGGTGTAGGCAGTGTGGGCCGGGTCACCATCACCTGGTGTAGGCAGTGTTGGCCGGGTCACCATCACCTGGTGTAGGCAGTGTGGGCCGGGTCACCATCACCTGGTGCAGGCAGTGTGGGCCGGGTCACCATCACCTGGTGTAGGCCGGGTCACCATCACCTGGTGTAGGCCGGGTCACCATCACCTGGTGTAGGCCGGGTCACCATCACCTGGTGTAGGCCGGGTCACCATCACCTGGTGTAGGCCGGGTCACCATCACCTGGTGTAGGCCGGGTCACCATCACCTGGTGTAGGCCGGGTCACCATCACCTGGTGTAGGCCGGGTCACCATCACCTGGTGTAGGCCGGGTCACCATCACCTGGTGTAGGCCGGGTCACCATCAACTGGTGTAGGCCGGGTCACCATCACCTGGTGTAGGCCGGGTCACCATCAACTGGTGTAGACCGGGTCACCATCACCTGGTGTAGGCCGGGTCACCATCACCTGGTGTAGGCCGGGTCACCATCACATGATGATGGAGCTCCTGTCATTATAACTATACAACATACAGCAGCCAGACAAAACTATTAACATGTACGAAATGGTAGAAATTACCCTCAACACGCACCTCAAATATTCCATGATGGAGTCTCCTCCTGACCACACCGGGGGGGCGGGCCACACCGGGGGGCGGGCCACACCGGGGGGCGGGCCACACCACGGGCGGGCCACACCACGGGCGGGCCACACCACGGGCGGGCCACACCACGGGCGGGCCACACCGGGGTGCGGGCCACACCACGGACGGGCCACACCATGGGCGGGCCACACTGGGGGGCCGGCCACACCGGGGGGCGGGCCACACCGGGGTGCGGGCCACACCACGGGCGGGCCACACCAGGGGCGGGCCACATCAGGGGCGGGCCACACTGAGGCGGGCCACAGCGGGGACGGGCCACACCGGGCGGGACACACCTGAGGCTCCAGGAAAATTTAGAAAGTGACATGTGCCATGGTTCGGTATGTGACCAGAATAATAATGACGTCCGGTGTTGACTGAGCACAGTGAGCATGGCTGCCCCATCACGGGAAGTTCTTTCCCCGCCCGGCTCTTTCCGGCGGCCCCTGGGCCAGCCTTGAGCAACATATCCGGGTCCAGGAAGCGAGCCTGCTCCCGTCCATGTGTGTTTGGTGTGGCAGGAGCCAGCTAGGCGTGCCTGGGCGCTCGTCCTTCACGACCTTCACGGTAAACTCCGACGCCTCAACCCGCCATTGTTGTCATTCAAGCGTTGGTGGAGAGGGGCGGCGGCCATGACTGTGACGTCACTCACTGCCTGGGATTCCCGCCGCTTCTCCAGATTCACGAAGGTACTTACGAAGGTTTTTCTTCTTAGCTACGAATGTTTTCCTTCTTAGCGCCTTCGTGGCGGCTACGTCGGTATTCAGGTAGCTACACTAAGTCGAAAAACCTTTGTAAGTTTGGTCCGTCATCTAAGTGTGGTGTTGACCACTCGTAGCTTTACGTAAACTGGATATAACTCAGTTTTTCTCTACTACATAACACTGGGATCGATTTTAAGATTTTGGAACATAAACAAAAGATTATAGCTGGTGAATCTCGTGAAGAGGAGTCCTTCGTGTTAGTTATATATGCATTCTCTGCTTGAAACTTTGAGTAAATATGTCTTTTATGATATTAGAATTAGTTTTATAATAGCAAGAAATTATACCAGTAGTTATTAAGTAAATAAACACTGGTGAACATGAAATATGAGAGAAGGTGATGAGCCCTGCCTGATGGGATCATTTACTATCACCAAATGCCCCTGTTCACCTAGTAGTAAGGGTGTACCTTAGCTATACATACCCATTTCTAATTTATTTAGTTTGGTTTTATTTTGAAATTAAATATGGGTGACATAAAATAAAAATATGCTGCACAAATGATGTTAGGTAAGGAGAAGGGTAAAAATGTCAAAAACTTTATTCATTGAATACTTAAAGCTATAATTATGACTATATGGACTATTAAAAAACATAGAGGGAAGTAGGGGTCCAAGACCTCTTCCTGTTATACAATTTGGGTGTGGATCAAGTAATTATCAAAAGAAGGCACCATGCCGGGAAGGCTATGTAGCAGTAAGGCAGTGAGGTGAGGCAGCTACTTATTTGAGAAATGCTTATTTTATTTACCTTATAAGCTGAGGCAACTTATTTTATTTGAGGAATGCTCAGCTAATTCTTCTACATTTAGCATGGAACAAATTTGTGTCCAAGACCTCTTCCTGTTACACAGTTTGGCTGTGTGTAACCAAACTAGAAGTGCTCTACAAATCAAGGGACCCAGAATGTGGAATGACCTCCCGAATCATGTCCTAGGCTGTACCTCTCTCAACCAGTTTAAGAGTAAAACCAAGTACTGCCTAATTAACTCCATGTAACTTACCTTACCTCCTAAATGTCAACCCATGTCTTGCTATTCTTTAAACAATGCTGTTTGTTCACCAACATGTACAATTGCTGATTTATGCTATGTTACCCCCCTTTTTTTTATTCCTTCTTTCAACACAATTTATACCTAATCCCGATTACTATTAAGTTTTAGTCTAAGTGTTTTTTCCCCCCAGTCTCCGCTGCCTTCACCTGTGTCTCTGCTGCCTTCACCAGTGTCTCTGCTGCCTTCACCTGTGTCTCTGCTGCCTTCACCAGTGTCTCTGCTGCCTTCACCAGTGTCTCCTGATGTTGGAGTAGATATACAGTAGATGACTACAAAGTAGATAATAAATGCTGCTGGAGTAGACATAGAAGAAGCATCTACAAATGTGAGGCTTGACAGGTTGACCGGGTGGGAACAGGCCGGGTGGGAGCAGGCCGGGTGGGAGCAGGCCGGGTGGGAGCAGGCCGGGTGGGAGCAGGCCGGGTGGACGCAGGCCGGGTGGGAGCAGGCGGGGTGGACGCAGGCCGGGTGGGAGCAGGCGGGGTGGACGCAGGCCGGGTGGATGCAGGCCGGGTGAGAGCAGGCCGGGTGGGAGCAGGCCGGGTGTGAGCAGGCCGAGTGGACGCAGGCCGGGTGAAAGCAGGCCGGGTGGACGCAGGCCGGGTTAGAGCAGGCCGGGTGGACGCAGGCTGGGTGGACGCAGGCTGGGTGGACGCAGGCCGGGTGGAAGCAGACCGGGTGGACGCAGGCTGGGTGGGAGCAGGCTGGGTGGACGCAGGCTGGGTGGAAGCAGGCCGGGTGGACGCAGGCTGGGTGGAAGCAGACCGGGTGGACGCAGGCTGGGTGGGAGCAGGCCGGGTGGAAGCAGGCCGGGTGGACGCAAGCTGGGTGGACGCAGGCTGGGTGGAAGCAGGCCGGGTGGACGCAGGCCGGGTGGACGCAGGCCGGGTGGATGCAGGCCGGGTGGACGCAGGCCGGGGGGACGCAGGCCGGGTGAGAGCAGGCCAGGTGGACGCAGGCCGGGTGGACGCAGGACGAGTGGACGCAGGCTGGGTGGAAGCAGGCCGGGTGGACGCAGGCCGGGTGGACGCAGGCCGGGTGGATGCAGGCCGGGTGGACGCAGGCCGGGTGGACGCAGGCCGGGTGAGAGCAGGCCAGGTGGACGCAGGCTGGGTGGGAGCAGGCCGGGTGGAAGCAGGCCAGGTGGACGCAGGCTGGGTGGAAGCAGGCTGGGTGGAAGCAGCCGGGTGGACGCAGCTGGGTGGGAGCAGGCCGGGTGGACGCAGGCCGGGTGGGAGCAGGCTGGGTGGACGCAGGCTGGGTGGAAGCAGGCCGGGTGGACGCAGGCCGGGTGGACGCAGGCCGGGTGGATGCAGGCCGGGTGGACGCAGGCCGGGTGGACGCAGGCCGGGTGCGAGCAGGCCAGGTGGACGCAGGCCGGGTGGACGCAGGACGAGTGGACGCAGGCTGGGTGGAAGCAGGCCGGGTGGACGCAGGCCGGGTGGACGCAGGCCGGGTGGATGCAGGCCGGGTGGACGCAGGCCGGGTGGACGCAGGCCGGGTGGGAGCAGGCCAGGTGGACGCAGGCTGGGTGGGAGCAGGCCGGGTGGAGGCAGGCCAGGTGGAGGCAGGCCAGGTGGAGGCAGGCCAGGTGGAGGCAGGCCAGGTGGAGGCAGGCCAGGTGGAGGCAGGCCAGGTGGAGGCAGGCCAGGTGGAGGCAGGCCAGGTGGAGGCAGGCCAGGTGGAGGCAGGCCAGGTGGAGGCAGGCCGGGTGGACGCAGGCCGGGTGAGAGCAGGCCAGGTGGACGCAGGCTGGGTGGGAGCAGGCCGGGTTGAAGCAGGCCAGGTGGACGCAGGCTGGGTGGGAGCAGGCCGGGTGGACGCAGGCTGGGTGGGAGCAGGCCGGGTGGACGCAGGCCGGGTGGACGCAGGCCGGGTGGACACAGGCCGAGTGAGAACAGGCCAGGTGGACACAGGCTGGGTGGGAGCAGGCCGGGTGGACGCAGGCTGGGTGGGAGCAGGCCGGGTGGATGCAGGCTGGGTGGGAGCAGGCCGGGTGGACGCAGGCCGGGTGGACGCAGGCCGGGTGGAAGCAGGCCGGGTGGACGCAGCCCGGATGGACGCAGGCCGGGTGGACGCAGGCCGGGTGGACGCAGGCCGGGGGGACGCAGGCCGGGTGAGAGCAGGCCAGGTGGACGCAGGACGAGTGGACGCAGGCTGGGTGGAAGCAGGCCGGGTGGAAGCAGGCCGGGTGGACGCAGGCCGGGTGGACGCAGGCCGGGTGGACGCAGGCCGGGTGAGAGCAGGCCAGGTGGACGCAGGCCGGGTGGACGCAGGGGGTGGACGCAGGCCGGGTGAGAGCAGGCCGGGTAGACGAAGGCCGGGTGGACGCAGGCCGGGTGGACGCAGGCCGGGTGGACGCAGGCCGGGTGGACGCAGGCCGGGTGGAGCAGGCAGGGTGGACGCAGCCCGGGTGGACGCAGGCCGGGTGGACGCAGGCCGGGTGGAAGCAGGCCGGGTGGGAGCATGCCGGGTGGAGCAGGCCGGGTGGGAGCAGGCCGGGTGGAGCAGGCCGGGTGGACGCAGGCCGAGTGGGAGCAGGCCGGGTGGACGCAGGCCGGGTGGAAGCAGGCCGGGTGGACGCAGGCCGGGTGGACGCAGGCCGGGTGGAAGCAGGCCGGGTGGACGCAGGCTGGGTGGACGCAGGCCGGGTGGAAGCAGGCCGGGTGGAAGCAGGCCGGGTAGACGCAGGCCGGGTGGACGCAGGCCGGGTGGGAGTAGGCCGGGTGGACGCAGGCCGAGTGGGAGCAGGCCGGGTGGACGCAGGCCGGGTGGAAGCAGGCCGGGTGGACGCAGGCCGGGTGGGAGCAGGCCGGGTGGAAGCAGGCCGGGTGGAAGCAGGCCGGGTAGACGCAGGCCGGGTGGACGCAGGCCGGGTGGGAGTAGGCCGGGTGGACGCAGGCCGAGTGGGAGCAGGCCGGGTGGACGCAGGCCGGGTGGAAGCAGGCCGGGTGGACGCAGGCCGGGTGGGAGCAGGCCGGGTGGAGCAGGCCGGGTGGGAGCAGGCCGGGTGGAGCAGGCCAGGTGGAGGCAGGTCGGGTGGACGCAGGCCGGGTGGACGCAGGCCGGGGGGACGCGGCCCGGGTGGAAGCAGGCCGGGTGGGAGCAGGCTGGGTGGACGCAGGCCGGGTGGACGCAGGTCGGGTGGACGCAGGCCGGGTGGAAGCAGGCCGGATGGACGCAGGCTTGGTGGAAGCAGGCCGGGTGGAAGCAGACCGGGTGGGAGCAGGCCGGGTGGGAGCAGGCCGGGTGGGAGCAGGCCGGGTGGACGCAGGCCGGGTGGACGCAGGTCGGGTGGACGCAGGCCGGGTGGACGCAGGCCGGGTGAGAGCAGGCCGGGTGGGAGCAGGAAGCCAGGAACGGGTTGACGGTGTCCCCGGAGCCAAGGGTAAGGTCGCCTCCGCGCGGTCACCCATCCGGTTAATGCCGCATCCAACGGTGCTTTAGCGGACTAACCGAGCATCTCCGTTACCATCCGTCCCTAACACAGCCGCGACAAGCAGACTATTGCTGCTGGCCAGGCGTGTAACATCACACTCCATCTTTCCAGGGACATTACCACAGTCTTGCCAGGGACACTACCGGAGTCTTGCTAGGGACACGATCACACAGTCTTGCCAGGGACACGATCACACAGCCATGCCAGGGACACGATCACACAGCCATGCCAGGGACACGATCACACAGTCTTGCCAGGGACACGATCACACAGTCTTGCCAGGGACACGATCACACAGCCATGCCAGGGACACGATCACACAGCCATGCCAGGGACACGATCACACAGCCATGCCAGGGACACGATCACACAGCCATGCCAGGGACACGATCACACAGCCATGCCAGGGACACGATCACACAGCCATGCCAGGGACACGATCACACAGCCATGCCAGGGACACGATCACACAGCCATGCCAGGGACACGATCACACAGCCATGCCAGGGGCCTACAGGTAAATTTCCCCTTTTTTCAGCAGGACTGCCAATCCTACCAGGTCTGAACCATTTGGCCTGACCCAAATAAATCTGGCGCCAGCAAGAACGTCAATGGCAGTATACACGCCTCTCCTAAGGCATCGCACACCAGGGAGATAGCGATAATTGAGTCAATTGTGGCCCAACTCTTCATGAAAGACTGGCACCAGAAAACAATAGGCACTGTCATATGGGAGGGTTTCTGGAGACGAATCCACCTGAAACATGGGAATGGAGAAATACCCTCTGATGGCCCTCTGATGAAGAAATCAGGCCAAACCTCCCACAGGTATGTTTTTTTGGCAAGAACTCACAGGAGGGAACATTTAACAGCACAATGAATACAGTGAACAGTGCTGAACAGAGGGTAACCGGAACAAACAACCCCAACCGGAGTAAAGGGCCCAGGTGGTACAGAGGGCGCCAAGGAACGTACTCCAACCAGAGGACGATGAAGACGTCAACCCCGACCCAAACCAAGGTATGAGACCCCCTCCCCCTCCACCACCTCCTCCCAAGAAAATTACCCAACAGGTTCAGATCAACTAGAGGAATGAGGAGGCAAACCTGAGGCAGCAGCACAACGGCCCTCACACCTCGACACAAGGCAGAGGCAGACAGGCTTTGAACAATAGGGACGGGTCCAGAAACGACTAGAGATCCTCCTCCAGAAATGGAGGTAACAGACTACAACAGAACAGGATTGATTGATTGATGAAGATTAAGCCACCCAAAAGGTGGCACGGGCATGAATAGCCCGTAAGTAGTGGCCCTTTTGAGCCACTACCAGTATCATTAGCTGATACAGTGGAGATCTGTGGAGGTGTGACTGCACCCTGCGTAATGAGAGATGTCTCCCCCGTGCAGAACAGGGGTAACAGCAACTACCTCCCGAGGAATAACAACTACAACGGGAATTATATAGGTAACAACAGCAAAAATACCAACTACAGGGGTAACAATAATAGAGGCACTAACAACAACAGCAACAACAACTATAGGGGTAAGAATAACAACTACTACTACTACAGGGGTAAAGATAATAACATTTATAGGGGTAATGATAATAGGGGAGGGAACAATGACAATTTTTTGTTCAGAACAAGAGGAACGGCGTGGATCCAGACACCAACAAGATGGGACCGGGGACCTGAGGAACACCACCACCACCAAGCAACAAGAAAACCTTCGACAACGACAGAGAGTGGGAAGATGGAGGGCAGAAATGGATCGGTCGCAACGGGATACCAGACAGAAGGACGGGCGACTAAGACAGACAGTCGTCTCCAAGGTATCTCTCACAGAAAACGAACGGACCCTGCTGGAGAAGGTTCTTACATTAGTAGTAGGGCCGCCAGCCAGGAAGGTACGACAGGAGACAATAGGGGACTTCTGAGCAAATCTGGAGAATCGTATCAACTAGGAATGAGCAAACTCCGGCAAATGCAAGGAAAGTTACAACAGGCACCAAAAACTAAAAAGTCTCTCTCTCTTACAGACACCTGCACCCAAGAGGACTAGAACAACAATCAGTCTACAACCCGGTGGGGTTAACAGAAGTCATACAGCAGATGAAAACGGACCTCGAAAGGAGGACGGACACTAGGAGCATCTGTAACCTACCGAAAGAGGAGAGAGAAGCCGTAGCCGGACAGAAGCTGCACACGGATATCATCATCAAACCAGCGGACAAGGGAAAGAAGGAAGGAAGGAACTATCAGGGGGGAAAGCGCAAAGTCATTACGACCATATAGCACTGGTAAGGGATCTGGATAAGGATTTGGGATAGGACAGGGGGAAAGGAATGGCGCCCAACCACTTGGACTGTCGGAGATTGAAGGAACAGTAGTAGTAGTGTGGAATAAAGAGAAGTACATCCGTGAAATGGAACGTCATCTAACAGATGGAATCTCGTAACGTAACATTGAAAACCAGGGAGCTGCACCGAGGAATGCTCAAACTCGGAGTCGGCGCATAGTGCTCAAACTGTTTGAGAACTTTTACGAGGGTATGAGTGGAGGCCTCATACAAGCCTGATCAAGAGACTTTTACACAGCCTTTAAATCAATGATCCCCCATTTGTATCTCCTACCCAAGATTCATAAACCCCTAAATACAGACACCAGGACATGGCAGGGCAGACCGGTTCAGAGTGGCTGCGGGGCACCTACTAGACCAGTAGACTAGATTTGCACAGCACTCCTGAACCTCCTGCTACGCCTCCTCCCGGAAAGACTGAAAGACACAATGGACTTCTTAAATAAGATACAGGAAATTAGGGCCCCGATGCCGGAAGGCACTCAGCTGTTCTCGATGGATGTGGTATCGCTCTACCCAAACATACCACAGAGGGAAGCAGCGTTCTTCAACGTGAACAAACACAAGATAACAGAACTGAAGGAAGCAGGAATATGGAGGCCACCCAGGAGGGACTTGGTAGAGGAAGCGATCCTTCATGTCATGCGGGACACACTCCTCCAATCTGAAGGCCGAGTGTATAGACAGATTAAAGGTGTGGCAATTGGCGCACCCAGTAGCGTAGCCACTGCCGAAATCTTCATGCATGTTGCCTTCGACAAACTGAGAACCTGTAGACATGATGCTCCATTAATCTATTACAGATATATTGATGATATCTTTGGGATAATGACGGAGGGAGACTAGACCCTGCAGGATTTCTTCACATGGGCGAATACAGTTCATACTAATCTGAAGTTTACGCTGGAACACGACGACTCGGCAATTAATTTTCTGGATATTATGGTCTACATAGATCGGACCAGTAGGTGCCTTCAGACGAAGGCATACTACAAACAAACAAATATACATACCTACCTAAGGCTTGACTCGAGTCACCCTCGAGCATTGAAGAAATCTTTACCATACTCGCTTGTCCTACGCTTAAAGAGGATAAATAGCACCCTGGATCCCCAGCTAAAACAAACATGGGAAATGTTCAGGGATATGGATTACCCAAATGAGATCCTGCACACCGCCCAGGCAGAATTGCGAGGGAAGACAAGGAACCAACTCATGGAACCACCTAGGCCGAGGACTAAGGACAAGAGATGGAGTATCCCACTCTGTTTTTTTCCAGGCCTAGCGATACAACTCAAGGAGAAGATGGTGGTAGTCTGGTCCTGGTTAAGAGAGATCTACGAGGAACACCCTTCGTGCCCAGATTTTCCTAAGGATCCACCCATGATCGCATGGAAAAAGAGGTAAATCCTTCAGAGATCATCTAGTTAGGGCAGGCCCCCGCCCGTTGGCCTAGCCAAGGTGAACAAGAAAAGAAGTGGAGGTACAACTACAACCAAACTAAACTAACCAGATACAGAAGGGCAACATCCTTTTCCTGAGTTTTAGAGAGTCCGAGGAGTGGTTAGAAGGGCACAATATAACACACACCATTACCTGCTAGACAAGGGTAGCTCTAGGGGTTACAGCAGTAGGGAAGAGCAAAGGGAATAATAATAATAATTGCCTTTCCATTGGAAATTTTCGGCGCCGTGGAGAGGGGGGACCTGCTGCATGGGTAACAGCTTTTCCCCCCATATCAATCTACAATGGCTTTGCGCCCTGGAGAAGCCTCTCCAGACCCACAACCAGAGCGCAACTCCATAGTCTCCTGAGACTGATGGATGACTGCTACTACTAATACTAATTAAATTCGTCGGGGGACAGCCAGCGCGTATATTAATAATTCTAACACGAATTTTCTCAATATTTCTTATGTTTCTTTTCACTGTCGATGGTAATTGAAAAATCAATTCTCCAAAGTTCATTTTTATTTCTAGTCTGACGCGACACTTGAACGCGTTTCGTAATAACGTATTACATTTTCAAAGACTTTAGTTTACACACACAACTATAACCTGCAAACACTAAACAGAGTTCTACCATGCTATAATTTAAACGGCTTTCATCTTATATACCTGCATTTGGGAGAGGTAATATGTTACAAGAGTTTTGGATGAAGTGAAAACAAACTTTCAAAACAAGACAGAACACGAAACAATGGGTATAATACTGGGTAAATTAAAGGGAAGAATGGAAGTAACTGCAAAGGGCCTATTGGCCCATATTTCTTGATGCTTCTATATTGGTGCGGAGTCTTGAAGTGGGTATATCTTGAGGTTATCTTGAGATGATTTCGGGGCTTTTTAGTGTCCCCGCGGCCCGGTCCTCGACCAGGCCTCCACCCCCAGGAAGCAGCCCCTGACAGGTGACTAACACCCAGGTACCTATTTTACTGCTAGGTAACAGGGGCATAGGGTGAAAGAAACTCTGCCCAATGTAGCTCGCCGGCGCCTGGGATCGAACCCAGGACCACAGGATCACAAGTCCAGCGTGCTGTCCGCTCGGCCGACCGGCTCCTTTAGAATATAATTGGTAGAATATAGTTGTGCATTAATTGGCTGTTGATTGCTGGTGTTGA